TGAATGTTCCCTTCCCATACTGGTAGAATTATTTGGAGAAATAGTAGGAATTTATATGATGTGATGTTTAAGTTGGTAATTATGGGTATGCCAATGGAGGTTGACAGCCAGCTTCTGTTTCTGTCTTTTTGCTTCCTGTCTGCTACAAGACTCCTCTGGCATATGTTTCTATGCATGACTGTTGGGGACTGTGGACCCCTAGACCCTGAATTTTCTGTAAACAACTTGCTTGCAGCTTCTCTGAGCAAAACAACTTGTTTGCCTGAGTTAGCAGCTGCTCTGAGCATGATACAAGGGAGTGATTTCTGGTGGCTGCAGCTGAAAGATATCAAGAGCTGGGGCGTGGCCAGAGCACTATATTACCTTCCCCTGAACACAATAAAGGGGGCATTCTTGTTTCAAGGATGGCCCATGTCTCTGTCTCTGTGTGTATGTGTGTGTTTCAATCTCCAGGGCCCTTACTGGTAGGGCAGAAGCTACAGGTAGTATCATATTACACGTAGTACAGGTGCTACAGAACCGTAGTACACATAGCAGCAGTGCAGTACACATGACCAAGGATGCAGAATGACAAGAGCAGAGGATTGTAGGTGATGAAAGCACTGAAACCAAAAATGAAAAGAAGTCCTTATTTTATTAAATTTATTATGTCATACAGTGGCACACGGATAAAAAGTTTATCACTCATTCCCACTAATACAGAAAGTCAGTCCTAAGAATGCGTTCACTGCTATTAGTAAACCTTACGGTGCAAGTGTTAAATTTGGGGAATGAAAATATAGGAAGGATTTAGGAAAGTGTAGAGATCTTTGTTATTAAAAGCCTACAGTGCTATAGGTAAAGCTGACTGAGTTATTCCAATATGAACTTAGAAGTCAAGAATGCAGGTCATGAAGAATTAACTCATGAAGATGCAGATAGAAATAAAGACCTTACTGATAGTATTAATCAAAGATATTTATGTTTTGTTATGGCAGTGAATTTCTCTACCTATTGTCCATTTCATGAGACCCCATGGGTAACTGTGTTTAGCTGGTGAAAGAATGTTTAAGATAGTCAACATCTTGGCTGTGGCATTGTCAGAAAATCTTTTATCCAGGTTTATAGTGATAATTATGAACAAAGAGTATGGCAGAAAGTCTTGTAAAGGCTGGGAAAGGAGAAAATTTGAGGCTGAGTAAGATGTACTTGTTAGCAAGAATAGCACCATTCAAAATAAGTTAATTTCTTTAAACTGGGAAAAAGAAAGGATGCCAGGAAGACGACTAAGAATAAATAAGACCACATCAAACCCAGAGTTGACAAGTTCATAAAAGGTAAACTTGCTTAACATGCTCTGTCATCCTCCAGTTAGACACAGGCTTGCTGGGGGAAGTATTTCATTACATTCAGAAACCTAAGCAGTCACAGGCTCCTATGTACACTGTCCAAAGAAAGGTGACCAGTGCTTAAGAGGGCAGCAGTCCTTGATGTTATTCACATGATGCTAGTTTGGGGAAACCTTCATGCATGTAGCAGGCATCCTATGAAGGCTTCAGTGTGAAAGGCAAGTTGGCAAAGCGATAGCGATGGAGCAACTCAAGCCCGTTGACCTTCTCATTATGATACCCTGCATCTTGGATGTCTTACGTTTTGCACAGTGCTGAAAATCTTAGTGCTTTCCCTGATATATTTTTATCTTCTTCTTTCGTCCCCCATCTCTGCCTTACATGTAACCCCTTTTTACTTTATTTTAGAAATGGGATTTTTATTTGGAAATTTCTTATCTTGGAAGTACACACCCTTATGTTTGGTATGGTTTAGAGGGTCATGGGTAAGAATTTGGCTTGTATCTAAGAAAAGACTTTAAATCAGTCCATTAATGGCTAAGATGATGCTGACTCTCAGAGACAGGCAATTCATTCTGCATTATGAGGTAGGTAGAAGCTTTAGGAAGCCAGAGCAAAATGATAAAATGTGACTAACAAATTACCCCTACACCTCTTCCTAATGTTAAAATCTTACACCCCAGTTTGTGAGGATTTTTAGGAAAGTGAGAGAAACTGTAAGCTAGTGCCTAAATGGAGGCAGTAGGTCCCTTGGGCATGTTCTTGGGAGTGACAGCTTGTACCAGTTCCTTCTTCATCTCCCTCTGCTGCTTGACATCTATGTAAAAAAAAAAAAAAATGAAAGCAGAACTTTCTTATCAAAGACCTACAAGGCACTTGGTGACAATAATACAAAGTCAAATACAAGCCTGTACTGGGGAACAACAGTAGAAGATTGCAGAAGGTCTTGGATGTGTGGACATGAGGCACTCATGTAACATAAGATTCAGCTCCCATTCTCAGACTGTTATTGTGAACTTGGAAGTAGTACTTCACTTAAAGTGCTTGCTCAGAGATCTCAATGTCACTCTTACTGTATCTGGAGATAATGAACATGACTGAGAAATATTGATCAAGTGGCATGTGTAGAAATAGGATATTAAGAAAGAAATACCCCCAAAATAGAGTGAAGTAGGAAAAAAGAAAGTCATTATAATTTGTGAACCATAAGGTGATAGGTTTGAGGGTGACCAAGGTCATGTTGTCAAGCAGTATTCACTGAAGAATTGGCAGAAGTTCCTAGAGAATGTATGGTTTCTGACTTAAAAGAGATAAAATTTCTTATAAAGTTTTATACAGTTTGCTTTTTTTATTGAGACAAAGGAAGTGCTTCCAGCTGCTTACGTAACAAAGAAGTCTCTTGACTACAAAGTTCAGATCTGTGAAAAATGAAATGCGTGGCTCTTTACTGAGATTCTGTATTCAAACAGCGGCTTTCTTTTTGAGCATTCTGGTGATGCTGCTCTCTCCATCATGAAAACTATTGTGCTCAAGAGAGGAAGTCCCATCAATAAATCATATTGCATGAAAACCCCAGTGTCTGGACGCCATGCCAACCTTTCCGTGGAAATCAAATAAAGTAGATCCAGGGAGAATTTTACAGCAACCCTCCCTTTTCAGATGTCATACTTCATCAACCTAAGATTTAACAAGAATTATAACCAATTTAAATTTAAAATACCCATGTCAGTACGCATTTATCCATGTACAAATTAAGAGATCATTGCCGAGTTTGCCTGGAAGACTTAACAGCCAAAGGTCTTTTTCATCTATATGATGAACCAACTCAGTCATCAAATATATTAAAGGCTACTTTCCTTACCTAGAGGAGGACAAATAAAATAGCACAATTTCATCTTGTAGTTACATGAAATATATGAAAAACCATTGTTGTTTATTTTCTGATGTATTATCATCTCTTAATAATTGAAATATTGGCTATTAGGTACAGATCATCTAGATTTGCTTATTAGAATCTACATCTACTTTAACAAGGCTCTTGTTTGTGAAACAAATCTATTTCCACTCATCTTTGTGAAAGTGATTCAGTAAAGTAAGATAGTATTGGAAGTAATTCATGTGGAAGATGCTGATAGGTTCAGGGTCATTCAGCAAATACCAGCTATGCATCCATCAAAAGCATCTGATCCCGTGGGTTGGTGACTGAGGGCTGCTACAGTTGGTTTCTATAGAGCACTGAAATCCTGAGCTGAGTTGCTTTTACTTATCAGAAAGGGACAGTCATATTGGTGTTTCAAAAGAGCATTCCAATTATAGTGACGAAATATCAATGGGAGGGACCAGGTGTACAAAAGCAATAACATTTGTGTAGATAGTCCATTAATTGTGCTTTTAAAAAGGATTGTATAATAGATATGAATGCAGATTGTGAATGCAGACTGCTTGGGTTTGAACACATCTCTTACTGGCTACAAGCTATTTACTCAAAGTGGTAATTTTCCTATCATTATTTTGGGGATAAAAAAAGATCCTATCTCAAGAGTTATCATGAGAAAGAAATGAGTTAATATAAAACCTAACAGACACATGATATGCATAATGTAAGGATTTCCTATTAGTGAAGTAGGGTGGATGGAATGGAGAGAAACTTAGTAGCACACTTGAGTATATTGATTTCACCAAAGAAATGCCAGACAGAGGAACAGGTGAGTAGGTTAAGGCAACTGTTAAAGTAAAATTAGGGAATTTATTTAATTTTATTAGCTGTATTTAACTGCTGATTGACTGAGTGACAGAGATGAGCATATGCCTCTCTGGTGACAGACCTCTGTATATCTGAGATAAACATGGTATTTTCTTCTTCTCACAGAGATTTCTTAACATTGGCACTATGGAAACACTAATCTTGTGATATAAAGCGCCATCAGCTTAAATTTCTTTGTATGTGTGTGTGTCGGCACATCTGTGTGAGTCAGTGAGTGTGCTCATGTGTGTATGTGCACAAAGAGGGCAGACGTCATATTTGGGGGGTTCCTTGTTGTAGCAGTCTACTTTATTATTACATGGGGTCTCTCACTGAATCTGGAGCTTACTGGTTAGAGTAGGCCATTTGATAAGTGAATCCCAGGATTTTTCCTGTCTCCACCTCCTCAGTGATGGTGTCTCTCATGCATGGTACTATGGCTGGCTTTTTAACGGGGTTTCCATGGCTCACACTGTTAGCTGCTTGTGTGGCCTGCATTTTACCAACTGAGCTCATAAGTTTGAGAAGGAGTGGAAAAGGGGGACATAGGAGGGGTTGAAAGGAGAAACGGGAAGGGGAAAGAGAATTCAATTACATTCTAATTAAAATAATACTTTAAACCTCAATGAATTATATATTTAAATAATTGTCCTAAGATACGTTTACCCACGTGAAGCTTGTCAAATAATCTATGCATTTTCATGTAGCCTTATTTCCTGCTTTTTATCCTTTATAGCTTTTTTTTAAATTTATCTAATTGAATGCTAAATAAAAGTTTCTATAAATTTTGATGAATCATTAGTATTAACTTACTGTTTCTTTTGATCTGGCAATGATCTTGTACTTTACATGAATACCGCATTTCAGGAATATCCATATGATTATATGGTGATAAAATAACTCACCTTTTCTGTGCTTCTCATTTCCAGTCTGCTCCCAGTTCTCAAGAGGCGTCTATGCCATCTTCGGATTTTACGACAAGAAGTCCGTAAACACCATAACGTCCTTCTGTGGGACGCTCCACGTGTCCTTCATCACTCCGAGCTTCCCGACAGATGGCACGCATCCGTTTGTCATCCAGATGCGACCTGACCTCAAAGGAGCCCTTCTTAGCTTGATCGAGTACTACCAGTGGGACAAGTTTGCGTACCTCTATGACAGCGACAGGGGTAGGTAACAGGAGTCCCTTCCTAATGGGTCCAGCACAGCATTGGCTTTTGGTATGGCTATGGGGTGCTCTAAAAGTAAATAAATGCCTAAGAATTTATTGGTTTCATTTTTATGTAATTAAACCATGCAATTTTAGTATATTTACATGCTTAAAGTTAAACAAAACAAAAAAAACAAATTAAACAAAAATCCCAATGCAAAAACAGAACAGGACAACAGCAACAACAAACACAGGCACACAATCAAGCAGAGGAGATTCAGAGCACAGATGAAAGGGGTAGCCTGTGACAATCTAATGACTTAGTATTCAGTCCTAGCATATGTGAGCCATGTGAGCAACAAAGACTCCAGAATGGCTATGTTCCTCATCAGAGAAGTGGCTTAAAGGGAATCCATACAAGCATATAAATAGAAAGTGTTATAGTATTGTATAGTTACTAAATCTTGTTCAATGCAAAAGATTTATCAGGTGGAAAGTAGCCTTCTTTTAAAATAAAGTCTCTGAACTTCAGAGAAGTTGCAGGATGCTCGTGAGGTCATGATCTACCCGTGTGTAGAATAGTCCAGCACAGGCCTCTGGCATCCAACGCCAACTGCCTTATATAATTCCACAGGATTGTTTATGTGTTCTATCAGTGCGCCAACTTGAGGATGGGGAATTGTTTGTTTCTGTATTCTTTACCGTATTAGAAGAGCTGCTTTAGAAGTTTAGGAGTCAAGGTCTTCTTAATATTCATCATGTCTGTGATGAGAGTACATGAGTCTGTGCACACCTCATATTGTATAAAATACTTTGGGGGATGTTGATGTGTCTTTGGAGGTCATCTGTAAGCAAAGGCAAGAGGGTAAAGCGCTTTATAGAGACATAGCTAGGCTCCGCAGTGCTTCCTTTTGCAGTTCACTTCTCGGAATACTTAAAGTTTCAAGAGAAATTCAGACGCGCTTTTTTGTTTGTTTGTTTTGTTTTGCTTGTTTTTCGAGACAGGGTTTCTCTGTGGTTTTGGAGCCTGTCCTGAAACTAGCTCTTGTAGACCAGGTTCGTCTCGAACTCACAGAGATCCGCCTGCTTTGACCAAGTTGGAGCACCTTGTTGTGCTGAAAGGCAGACTGGAGGGAGCCAGTGTCAGTCCATCCTCCTCCTATCACTCAGGCTTGGCTGAGGCAGGCCTGCTCAAGCTAGGCATCTGGCTTCAGTCCCGTCCCCTTGAACCAAGGCATGACTGGCCTCTGTGTAAAAACCAGTCAGTACTCATAATATAATATTATCTGTGTCAACCTCTTCATCTCCTGTTTTGAGAAGGAAGAATTGATATCTACATCATGCATGTAAAGTACAGGCAGAGTCATGATGGTAAATGTGGATTTCAAAGTTCAGGGTGACTTTAATATGGGTTTCCTGTGTATGTGATAAAAATAATTTACAAAACCGAGCTTATTGGTATTTAGGCTTCCCTTTTGCCCTCTGACCACTTTTTTAGGACTTAGCAGCCCTGGAACTCTTCTGGAAGTTCGGCATATTTTAATTGCATTTCTCACACTTACTTCATAGTGATGCTATTTCCATCTATGTGTGTATTTCATATTTGGTCGCTTCTTTTCTGGACCTAAGCCCCCAGGTCAATGTACTACCACACATTCAACACCTCACGTCCTTAATGCCACACTGCTTTTTATGGGATCCATTTTCAACAAAGCAATCAGAATTATTTTAAATGTGTTTCCTTTGGCAGCATCAATCTCAATGGCTTCTTCATATTACAATTAGGATAACATTGGAATTCTCAGACTGGCTTTCAGGCTTTATAATATATGGGTCCTCCAGTGAGTTTTCTAGACTTGCTCATTCACTAAATCTAAATCCTAAATCTGATTGACCTTCCTTCACATTCTGACTTGGGCCAAACCATTTTCACCCCAAGTGTCTGCATATAGCTCAGATTTATAGAGGCTCTTGATGTCTGCTTTGATATACAGTTTTCTGAGGACATCTGTTATACTGGCATTTCCTTACAAAGCAATGTTTTATTCCCCTTCCTAGGATGTAAAACAATTTATAATTAATACTGTATTTGATATATCACTCAAGAACTATTTATTGAGCTCCTACTGCATTCCAAGGACAGATTCAGTCACCCAGAATAAGGTCTGTTTGTTACTTATGGTTTTACTGTTAGCTGCAGGAAAACTCTACCCAGAAGCACTACTCACCCTGGCTGTGAGGTTCATAACTAGACATGCAGAGCTACAGGTAATGCCAGATACATAGTTGCTATTCACTGGATGAGTTAAATGTTTGGGCCTCTTAAAATTAATCTGATATTAGAAGGCAATCATGCTTGCTAAGTTGAAGGGACAAAAGATGAACAAATCTTACATGTAGATGAGGCCAGAGGCCAGATCAATGACTGTATGAATTTTAAATTGTTATACACTCTAGGAAGGGGAATAAGACATTGCTTTGTAAGGAAATGCCAGCATGACAGGTTTAGAAGTATACCTCACCCTTGCCTTTCTTCTGTTATTCCCATTAGTTAAAAATGAGCAAGAGCAGGTGTGTTTCTGACTCTTTTGCCTGTTCTTGGGACTCTTTTCCTCTTATTACCTTGTCCAGCCTCCATATGAGGGCTTTTGCCTTGTCTACTGTATCTTGTCTTGTCCTGTTCAGCTTTTGTCTTTCTTTTCTGAAGAGGACATGGAGGGGGAGTAGATCTGGGGATGAGAGGAAGGTGTGGGAATCTGGGAGGAGTGAAGAGAGGATGTATTGTATGATAAAAGAATCTATTTTCAATGAAAAAAGGTGAACCTCAAAAACATTCAAATAGACAACAGCAACATCTGACATAAACAGAGGAAGGAAGAGAAACACAAAGACTAGAAGAGAGATATTCAGAAATAAAAGAACGGACAGACTTATGTACTTGCAAAGAGAACCTGGGGCATTTTACAACAATTTTATTAATGCTTTCAAAATATTAAATAAAATTGGAAGGATGAGATAATCTCCAATTATTAAATTATACAAATTGAATCCAGTCAAGTGCATCTGTTGGCCAAAGAACATTAGTGTCATAATATTAAGTAATTATACATTAAACCCAGAGTGACCTTCTGGGCACACTTTTGAGATATTATCAAGTAGCTGCCGATGTTTTAATGTGTTAAGTGTTACACAGCCTTCCATTTTCAACTGTTTCCAGAGATAAATATGTAAGACTCTCAAACACAGAAATGGCCTTGGCCTTTATCTTATGTTTTATTTGGCTAATGGAAATGGCATTATTGCTGACTACTTTTATCTTATTAGTTACTTAATTTATGACATTGCATAATGTTAAAATTATCCATACATTCGTTCTGTGAGCTGCTGTCTTTACTAATACCCTATAGCTTTCATGGGCTCCCTGCTCACTATCGTGTTACCTGCTGTGGAGGGCCTACCTGTGCTACCTTATTCTTATTAATCAGGCTTTTTAAAGAGATTCTATAATATTCTCTATCTACTGACATCATTGGAGGATCATTCAATATGGCCTCTCTACCTCCTTGATTACATGGATTTGTGGAGTGTTACATTATGATGTTATATTATGTTATATTACAGTGTTACATTAAGATGTCCAGCAAATAAAAGTGCCATTGAATAGCATGAGAACTAGACAGAAATTCTCTCCCCAACAATATTCTCCCCAGAATTGTAAACCAGATTAAAGAGACTTAGACATATTTTGCTTTATCAGGCTGCCCTTAACTAATACTGTAATTCATTTAACCTTGTTTCTCAAACTCCATCCAAATGCCGAGGTGACATCCTGGCAGACACATGGGAAGCCTTGGGTGCTGTGAACGTCGTACGGAATTATCTTCCACCAATCTCAGTTTCCTGGTGACAGGAAATCAGATGCTGTGTCTCCCATTCCCGCTGACATTTCAGAATTGCTGGTGTCGTCTCTTTACCCAGCTACTTGGCAGCAGTCTGATACTCCTTGAGGACTTCGTGCCCTTCCTAAAATTCTTGTGCTATCAGTGCATTGGGAGCAGTAAGATGGAGCATGATAACACTTTTAACTAGGGGAATGGGCCAGCTCTGTCAGCCCATAAGGTCTCATAATTTTGGTCTTTGGATACAGGTGCAATATATTTGAATTTGAGTGCAATGACATGTGATTTTGGTTCAATGTCAATGAAGGAAGATAATATATTTCTCTGTACAGTAAGTAAAAACGGAATCAATGACTCATTTCTATATTTATGTCTTGGTTTTTAATATTGAACTAAGGCTGTTTATCCCTTTGACTCCAGGTCAAAGAAATCATCTAACACAGAACTAAAATGCTTCCAAACTACAATTTTCCCCCTGATGTCTTGAGAAAGCTGATGAGGCAAATGCATGTTATTATAATCTAGTCTAGGCACAGTGCCATGACTTGGTGAGCATGCATATTAATTACACTGCCTGGAATGAGTGAGGTAGTGAATTTTTATGCAAAATATAACAATTTTAAGAATGAAGACAGTTCTGAATGGAATATGCCCTTCAGCAGATATCATTTTAAATTTCAGCCCTTCATAAGCAAATAAAAGATATTTTAAGCTATTTTTTTCCTGAATTTTTCTTTCACTATTAAGGATAGTGGGTCTAAATGAAATTAACATTACTGCTAGTTATTTATGAATTTTTGCAATTAGGTCATGCATGCGAAGCCTCTTCCTAACAATGTTGAACTAGCTATTTCTTTCTAAATCCAAATGTTTAAGAACTAAATAGCAACTGGGAACTTAATTTGGGACTCATAATATAATTGGAATGCTTTAAGGTTATATTTAAAATGATGAAAAGGGATAGTTGCTTTTTTCAATTTTTCTTCCGATTTTACAAAGGTTTATCTCAACACCTTTCTTCTTGTTAATTATTCAGAAGAAAAAAGAAATCAAGATGGCATGCTGCAGTGGAATACCTATCTGGGTTACCTGAATCAGGCTCACTGGGGGCTCTCCGTGAATCAGTGTTTATGGAGAGCTTCTGATTCCCACGCACATTTCTATCTCAATGAAGGGATTCATGCTCTGATGAAGAAATCTCGGTGCCATTTCATATGAGAAGGGGAGAAGCTCAGCTTGCTTTTTCTCCTAATTCCATTGTCGGGCCAAGAGCATAGCAGTGTGGACGTGGGCTGTGGGAGAAGACTTTAGTTACATCTTCGGAGGTAGAACACGTGTTTTTAGTGGTGTGTAATTTAAAAAGCATTGCCCGCCCCTGCCCCCCTCTATTGCCCGCCCCCTCCGCATTGCCCGCCCTCCCCCCTTTGCAAAGCAGGCAGTGAGTCTGTCTCACGACTTGAAAAGTCTTGTATGAACTGTGAGGAAATCCGTCAGTAGAAGTCTTTCATGATTGTCAGCTGTGAGGAGGGAGGAAATTGAGTAGCAGATCTTGAGAGAGTCTGTGGCTACCCCTGCAAAATAATGTTGAGAGAGAGCATTGCTGAGCCAGAGGCAACAGTCTCTTCCACACTGGGGTGAGATCAGCCCTCAGCTTGTGAGTGAGTGATGTGAAGTCATGCACAGTCAGCTGTATCAGAGCTAATAGAGCACGACTTGAGAAGTTGAGCTTTTAAAAAGAAGTATTTTGTATCAGGTTACCCGGCATCCAAAACATTAATGCTAAGAATTTTAATGATGTAGAATCTACGTTGAGTGCACGTTACTTGTGACACAGAATAAATGAGTTTGGAAGTTAGGTGTTAAAAAAAATCCATTATCTTTTATTTTATATATCATCCCTATATTCTGTGACATGGTAAACTGCCAATAAATTTGAGGCTTACATTTATCACGGTGAAATCTACTTAGACATTTATAAGTGAATTTATATGTAAATTTTCTTATATTATCTGTCAAAGACCAGACAATGCCAAATATATTAGTGCTTGAAGTTTTTGGTGTGAAAATTTCATTATTTAATAAAATGCAATAAAATATCTTATTACATAGAGTCAAGGTGGCTCCCGGGTAATACTCTATGAGAAAACAGAGAGAGCATGGCCCTTATTTGTAGTCCTGTTTTAAAGTGACTGGAAGCCCATGTCTGGAAAGATAGAAAAAACAATGGAGTAGTTACAAAACGTATCTTCAAACAGCTGGTGATTGTTGAATTACTGAGGGGACCTGTTGTATGTGCTCTGCCCTTATTGGTGATGAGAAGCAGACAAGGTACTTACTTGAGTTACAACTTGGGGGAATTGGATTTGCCCAGAGTAAACAGCCCTCACAGGTGCTTTGCGGTGGATTCTAAGATTTTATCACTGAAGATTGTGTAAGTAGAGGGAAATCTTTGTCACCCTTTGAGAAATGCATGTTTATCTCTACCTTCTGTTGTAATAGCAGACCAGGGACTGCTTTGGTGAGTCTTTCCCAGACTGCTCTGATTTCACACTCTTATGTACTATCTATTAACAAATTACTTTTAATCTTTATTATAATCAATATCAGTAAAATGGCCAAACCTTTATTTTGAGACTAGTTCTAATGCACATGGTTTTACTGTTTCATCCTTAACCGACCTAAGATTCCAGAGTATGGCACCACACCCAGGTTGTCAGGAACTTTTAGCTTCTCTCACAATGACTATTACATAAAGATTTTTGTTGTTTTATCTGGCATTTCGTTGCCTCTCTGAAATTCTTTATAAACAAATACTAGTCATCATCAGGTTTTTATTTGAGAGTACATAACACTTTAAAAATATGCAATTCTCTTATTTTATATATAGCCTGCCTATCTATCTATCTATCTTTCTATCTATCTATCTATCTATCTATCCATCTATCTATCTATCTATCTATATCACTGTCACTCTTAGCGAAGATCCATTAACACCATTGTTTGTTTACATTGTTACATTTCTTTACTTTGCAGGGTAAAGATGAGCTCTATATATCATGGTTGCTTGATAAATTTTTGTTAGAGTTGTTACTATGGAATCTGCTTCCTATTCTGGATTTTGATGATCTGAACATCTTGGGGCTCATTATGTTCATATATTCTCTGTAAATTGATAGTGTGATAAGATTCAGTTCTGCATATACAACTGTGTCATGGGTGGTACAGAATAGCTGACGGTCATTGCCATGACTCCCTAACTTCAGTGGATGTCACACAGCATTGATTCGGAACTGATGCTTGGTCACGTGTATTGGATGATGGCTAAAAGAAAAAGAAACTTGATTTTATCCCCACCTTGAGTAGATTCCACACAGGAAAAGCAAGGAAATGCTTCTGAAATCCCACGGTTCTTGCTAGTTTATATTTTCAATATAGTTGATTGGGTCTAACCCATTTAAAGCAAACAAATATTCTTAATACTTATTTTAATTATGATTTCATGGGTTTAATCCAAATTAACACTAGGTACTTGAGTCTATTTCCATTATGGTTTTGACTGATGCTGCATTTTCCTCATCTTTATTGAAAAAGCTACAAATGGCAGCTTCACCAGTTGGCATATACCCTATTTGGGAAATTTGTTTGTTTGCCAATATCAAAAAAATACCCTAAATTATTTTGCCTGCTTATGACTAACATTAAATCCATAGGATTGTCAATGACATTTTATAGCTTGAGATATTGGTGGACAAAACATAGCTGTTCCCTTCCTGGCCATTGTAAATTTGCTATTTGAACTTAGGTTATAAACAGATCTGCTCACATCAGGTGAATCACACCCCATATAGATAAAAACAGATCCGGGTATATTTTGAAGTGTACAGATCAGATCATCCTGGAATGACAATGATATATAGAGTGAATTCTCTATAGGGCCTTGAGACCGTGTTCCATGAAGCTATTCTTCTATGTGATGAACTTTTTTCCAAAAGACAGCAGAAAGAATACAGAAGGCAAGAGCATCTGCTACTTTTTGTAGTACTAAACCATAGATTTAGCTCTTCAAGAAACAATCGACTCTGGTTGTTGATCTTAAAGTTTTAAACATGCTGCAGTTATTGTATAATTAAATACCACACTGGCCACTTGTTGAAGTAATACCACACCATAACAAAAGTTACTAACAATTAGAAAAATAGTCCTATATTTAGGTAATGAGATAAATCCATACCAAAGAAATAGCTGGTTAATAGATAAATGATTTAATATCTATGAGATCAGTTCCAACAATAAAAATATAACAGAAGGCTGAAAAAGAAGAAAAAAAAGCCCTCGCTCTGCTACCAGCTGGAGACAGCGAAGGCTAAGATGTCTCTTAGCCATCACTGGCTGTGATATTCAGCTGCTTCGGGAGTCTCTGTGAACATGTATTAAACAAACTCCATCAGGATTACTAGAACAAAATGGCAGACTATCACTTACAGCTAAAACCATTTTACCTTCTATAAAGTGGGATATGCTTGGGAATTTTTTTTATTTTAATTAATTTGGAGATACTGAAGATCTTGCATGTCAGCATTTTACAAGAAACACATCTCAGAGTTACAAAGAATGTGATCCAAATTTCCTTTGACAGTATGTTTTTGCTTTTTTTTTTTAGCCTGGCACACACATAAGCAGAAATTGATAAAAATCATAGCTTCAGCCTCCCTATCACCAAACAAACACATTAAACTCAAGGGCGTGAATCTGGCCATTTCTCACTCCGGCTCTGAGATCCTCTAGTTTCTTCATCAGTCTTCCTTACCCATTGTCTTCCCAGGTTTATCAACACTGCAAGCTGTGCTGGACTCTGCTGCAGAGAAGAAGTGGCAGGTGACTGCTATCAATGTGGGGAACATTAATAACGACAAGAAAGATGAGACCTACCGATCGCTCTTTCAAGATCTGGAGTTAAAAAAAGAACGGCGTGTAATCCTTGACTGTGAAAGGGATAAAGTGAATGACATTGTGGACCAGGTTTGTTCCTCTCTGTTTTCTGCCAAATATAGACCATGCCTGCAACATCAGCATTGGCAAGGATCATTCTGCAAGATGCTTGTACTGCAGTTTTCAGTTTATAGTTCATGGACAATGCAGCAAAGATCATCAATTGAATTATCCCTAGCTTCAGTAAGCAATGGCAGATGGCTGTCAATAATGCTAACAGATTGGCTCTATCATTTAATAGCTTCAATGTGTAATACCAAGCTTTCATATTTTACATAAGCTTTGTGCTGAACCTACATGCTTTTCTGAGTTGAAAACTTTAGACTTAATTCTGATTAAATTAGGTCAAAACAAGTATGATGTCCTAAGGCAATGGTAAATTGGTTTGGAGTTTGTTTATACATGGTTATTTCAATACCATGTAGAAAGCATATGCTATTTTATACCTATGTGTCTTAGTCACTATTGCTATGAAGAGACTCTATGGCATGTCAACAATAGAATGCATTTTATTAGGGAACTGCTGACACTTTCATAAGCTTTGTCCATTACCGTCATGCATGGTAGCAGGTATGACAGGCATGATTCTGGAGAACTGCGTCCTTACGTGCAGGCACAGAGAGGGAGGTAGGGTTGGGTATGGGCTTTTGGAACCTCAAAGACCACCCCCAGTGACACATTTCCTCCAACAAGGCCACACCTCCTACTTATATTTCTATCAAATAGTTCCACTCCCTGGTAACTAGATATTCAAATACATGGATCTCAATGGGGGCTATTCTTTTTCACACCACCACAGTCTACTACAGCATAAGAAAGAGGAGGCATTTGTTGTAAGAAGCATGTTTTGATGCTGCATGCATATCGGAAAATTTGGGTCCACTTAAAATTTTAATCTACAAAATTAAAATATGAAGGAAGGAAATACAATCAGATCACGTGCATGACTTAGGAAGTCAACAGTATTCATTTGGGTGTTAGACAGAATAATTATATCAGACATGCGAATGCTTTTGTCTGCTCTTATCTTACTGCCTTCCTTTAGATAAGACCTTGCATGATAAGACAACCATGAAGTGGTAACAGAGTAAGAAACCAAATCCTCAGTGCTTTAAGGCAGAGAAACTGACAAAGTATGCTTCATGATTTGCTTGGTAAGGCATGCTTCACTAGTCCTGGCTAGTGTATGTATGTATATGTGGGAGAAAGAGAGAGAGAGAGAGAGAGAGAGAGAGAGAGAGAGAGAGAGAGAGAGAGGAGAGGGACAGAGAGGCAGAGAGAGAGACTGAAGCTGCTTCTTTCTCGAAAGTATATAAGATTTGAAAGAAAATACACAGCTGTATATACATTTATGCTCTTTCTAACTATTGAGATAAAAACTGAAATCCACTAATGTAACCAGGACAAAAATTCTAAAAAACGAGGGTTTAGAAACCTTAATTGATAATATAATATAGGCCTTAAGAAATAAAAATGGAGTTCTTAATAAAGAATTAAATAACTAAATCAATCTAATGTGACCTGTAAGAGACTCATTTGTATGCAAGGCAGGAGAACAATTTCAACTTAAAAATCTTGATTTTGGTCTCAGGCGATGAACTTAGGATTGTTGTTTCTGTAGGCCTCTTGCTGAGATGCACACATCAAAATCCCATTTGAACATCATAGTAGGTTTTCATTAAAGCTGAATTTTAATATTCTCTGGTCTGGTTTAAACATTTAAATATTCCTGCTTCTTCCTAATAGGACGAAAGCCTTTATAAAACTGTGTCTTTCAAAAATGTGAATAGGAAAATTGCACAGCAGACTGGGACTAATAAAAGTAACATTTGAATCAAAGTTTTTAATCATAGTTGTATAAGTCTACATGGTCACCTAAAAAGCATCGTTTTACATTTATATGTGATAAATATATACCTCTATTAATACACTAAACGAGTGCACAAATGGATGGCAAATCGCTTCGTCAGCATTTATTATCTACGTGAGGGATGCAAAGAATGATAAAAAAGGCTGCGATTTGAGTCTCATGAGCTTCCTTATAGGGGAAGAAGATTAATATAGATACAGCATGAAAACCTATAGCATACAAAGCTGTGTTACTCAAGTTTCTGCTACTACAACAAGTAAAATGGTAAACCAAAGTAAAAAGCAGAAATGTTTGTCTGGACTGATTGTATTAGAAGGTCTCATGCACAGCCAGCTGCCCTAGGAGAAAGACATCTAATGACAGCTGTACATGTTGGGGGAAACTGCTCACCTCAGTGTAGCTGGGAAGCAATGGAGAGATGGGAAGAGATCGGGGTACCTCTACCCCTCAAGGGTACTCCTCTAATGTCCTAAATTCCTATATCCTGTGTCATAAAGCTTGGACCACCTTCGAATAGCACTAAACTGAGGACCAAGCCTTTAACATATGGGCTATGGGTGGATCATATCAGGTAAAACTATGTAAGTAATCCGTAATGGATGAATGAGGATCTACCAGTCTTTTGAGAGGAATGGTTTATAAAAATTAAATGCAAAAGGTAGTATTTGGCTACCTTTGAGTCTCTTATTTTTATACAAATTTTCCAAGTCTTTAATGCTTTCTTTGCAGCAGAAACAGTATAACTAAAGAAGCATCATTAAATAAAACATGGCAAGTCTCATCAAAGAAAGTCAATGCTGTAGTGATGTCATCATGGCTGAAAAGAACAAATTATTCTCAGAGAGAATGACAGAAAGCAACAGTTTAGATTAGGTTAGGATGTCCTTCACAAGCAGAATCAACCAGGTACAAGGTGTCCATAGGGCACAGCCTATGAAAAAGAGAACTCTATTATTAAGTCACTCAACTAGTATTTGCAAGAGAATGGTGGTGGGATGAACGCTTTATCATCCTGGCATCTGGAAATTAGCATCAGAATTAGCCTGCATTAGATTAGGACTATTTTAACCTTATTTGATAAAACCAGGAAGACAGTTGTTTCTGACTATGCTCAGATTTAAAAACATGTTCTGCTATCAAAACACTTAGGAACTAGCATAAATTTTCTGTTGTATAATACTAATTGCTATTGTAAAGCAAAATTATAATGGTGACTATGGCCAGCACTAACATCTATAAAGACTATAACCTAGAGAATTTCATCTCTTTTTTTTCTCAGTAAACAGAAGTAGGGACAACTTCTATTATTTGTAGTGTTCATTTTAATGCTCAGATGGAAAACAGGGACATTCTCATGATAACTTGCTCAATAGGCAAAATCAACAGATGTTCTTAAGATATTTATGAACACAATGCTTGTTGATTAAGCTGAGAAGAATTAGAATATTTTTCTCTTAAAAAGGACATCTTTTCTTCAAGCTTCTGACTTCAACGTGGAGGATTTGATTTCTTGGAAAAGGCAATTTAGCTGTGTGATGTAGAAATGTATCAGAAGCCTAGAGAAATCCTAAATTCCTTTCAAACAGCTGCTACACAATTTCGGTATGGTATTCTGTAAAACATTTTCTGGAAATTCTGTCCTTGCTCTTGGACCGAATGTGTCAATACAATCACCTGACAACGTCTTTGGTGCTGGGCGGTCGTGGAAGTCTTCAGCAAGGAGGTGACCACTAGGTTGAGATTGGTTACAACATGTATGTTAATAGTACATTCATGTGGCTAGGTGGAGAATTTTCCAAGTGAGGAGACAGAACGTCCTGAGGGCTTTAAAGAAGTATATTATTATGCAAAACAGTTTTTTATGTTTTATTTATTTTCTATTATGACCATAGACTTTCATGGCTCATCCTAAGGAGTTTAATTTTATGATCCATTAGAAAGTATATAAATTTAGCACAAGTTGTCCATTTGAACATTTCTCACCTGTGATACCAAATGCAGTATGCTCTCTGGGAATGATAGGCAGTGGGCAAAGATCACCACTTCCCGCCCCCCATATATTCCAATCATAAAAGAAAGTAAGTCATACTCACTGAACTTTGGCTTGGGAGCTATGAAGGCTTGTGGGTTAAGAGAATTAAATGCATTTTTCACTTAAGAGTGGGTTTATCACCAGGTACATCTCTGTACTGTACTACACAAAGGTCATTCACCTTCACCTATTCAGTAATATAGATCATTGAGAGGAAATATGACTCAATAATGTCCAAAGATGCTATGACCATTGCTAGAGTAATCTCTTATCTCAAGAAGTAAGTTTATCTTGCTTTACTCAGATTTATAAGGAGAATTAGCTTCTTGCCTATGTGGTTGCCTAAAGCTGAAAGTAATGTTCATTTGAACTAAGATATAAGTGTATCAAGAATAACATTATAATTGATTGCTAGTGCCCCGTGACGTTCTATAAATGCAATTCATGCCTATTGTATATAGATGTGTTGAAATAAGGAGCAGTGGGCTGTGTCCCCAGCACCCCAGCCGCCCGCACGGCTAGCTTATGCCCGAAATAACAACACACAAACTGTATTCATTTAAACACTGCTTGGCCCATTCTCTTCTAGGCTAATTCTCACATATTAATTTAGCCCATTTCTAATCATCTGTGTATGGCACCCCAAGGTGCGCTTACCAGGAAGATTCTAGCCTATGTCCATCCTGGGTTGGAGCTTCATCCCGGGAGCGGGGCATGGCGTCTCTCTCAGGCGTCTGCTCCAGAGAGGAGAGCTGTCAAGACTCTGAGCTCACTTCCTCTTCCTCCCAGCGTTCTGTTTACATCTCCCACCTATCCTCTAACCAATAAAATGGGCCAAGGCATTTCCTTTATTAGCCAATGACCTTCCTCCATCATTTCCCTTTTTCGGTTTAAACAACAAAAAAAAAAGCTTTAAATTTAACATAGCAAAATTACATATAACAAAACAGTTATCAAGTAAAAGTTACAATAATCTTTATCATAACTAAGGAAAACTATAACTATAAATAACTATTCTTAACTCTATCAAAGACTCCAGAAAGATACAATACTACCTAAGCAAACAAGAAAAAAGCAACTTTTAAAACTCTAGAAATGACAGAGACATCTCACTGCCTGGACAGTCACCCAAAGTTCCTCTGTACTGTTGGGGCATCCATCTTCAGTCTTCAGGCCCATAGTTTTTAGCAGACATTTCATTTCCACAAAGCAGGAAAATTCAAAGTCAGTTCAGTCACTATCTGTTGTGTCCTGCAGAATGTCTCCCAGACTCTTTCATGAATCAGGAACCCCGAAAGATCATCTCACCTTAGGCAAGTTCAGTAGTCCTCTCTCTGCGGGTTCTCTGTGTCCAGTTTATGCAGTAGTCCAGGCAAGAGCAGTTTCTTGCCCAAATGGCTATCAAACTCCATAAGGTGCCTCTTCGATGCCCATCTTCCTCTTGAAGTAGATTGGTGCTGCCAGGAGCAGAGTGTCTCATTGTCATGAAAAGTCCTCAGTTATTAAGACATTAAATGTCCTATTCTATAATCTTTGAAAGACATGAAGAATGTCTATCTAAAATATATCTCTATATATCTAGAAAATCTAACTAACATGACTACAAGCTTTACTATTATCGATGATTATCCATTAACAACCTATATTTCTTAATTATACCTTACATTTTAATAATGAACTACACAGTCACAATACCTTAATCAATATCAGAAATACATATAACAAAATTGACCTTAAATCTCTATCAATAAAGCAAAATCTATACTAATGCAAATTATTCATACCTATATCATATCCCCCTTTAAATGTAAAAGAACGTTTATAAACCATATTTGGGAACATAGGCACAGTTTTTTCTCTCCAAACTGCTTCCTGCTGAATGGGGGCGTCGTTAATTAGGTCTTTCATGGTATAACCTGTGTGCTAGTTTCATCTCAGTTGGCAGTTGAGCGAAGCAATTTTCTGAAGATGTTCACTGCAACCCTTCAGGAGGGCGTGGTCCATCATACCAAATCGGAATAGAAGAAATGAACAGCGTCTCATCCTCTGTGAAAACAAAATAAGAAACTCCTTTCCAAAGTATCATATCCTTAGATCCAAATTCAAAATATCTATGTTGGATTAGTTCAGCAGCATTTATAAATAAATATCTTTTAGCATCTGTTGCTCCTTCCTCAGCATTTAAATAATTTAAAGAGAGCATAATAGCATACAGTATCAAAATTCTCTGTGTATTTTCCATCTTTGTGCAGCTTTGTTTTAACCTCTATTTTGTTTATTTTTACTTTTAACTTTTTGCTTTTTGAGACAGGTTCTCTGTATCTTTGACCTGAAGTAACTCTGTAGACCAGGCTGTCTTTGAACTCTCAGAGATCCGCCTGTCTCTGCCTCCCAGGCATTGGGATTAAAGGTGTGTGCTACCACACCTTGAAGTCACAGAGGTCTATCTCCCTCTGCCTACCAAGTGTTGGGATTAAAGGTGTGTACCGCACACAACAACTCTCTTCCTTTTTTTTTTGTTACTTTAAGAACTTTAAATTTTAGTCTGCATATATTTTTAACACACTTCAAACCATTTAGAAATTTTCTTTGTCTTTGAATCTCTCTTTACTGTATATCTCTCTTTTTCTGACCACATGAGTCTTTAATTTACCAAGCAATATCAGTAGGATTAAAGGCGTGGCTTTGCCAGCTAGATCCAGTCCATTCCTTAGCTTTCCAGCCTCATGGCGGATATACAGGCTGTAGCCATGTTTACTGCAACAACTGTATGGCATTTCAAGGTCCCTGCCAGCAAGTGAGCTACAACAGACAACACTCAAGTCCTCTCTCTGTAGCCGGCCCTCCTGCCTCAAACAGTCAGAGTTTGTCCTGGCAGGACAGCCCAGAAAGCCGGCATTTTTAAACGGCGCAGCCTTTTTCCTGCTACGGCTGAAAACCGAAAAGCATGTGTTCAGCTTTTCATCAACACCATTTAAGTGTTTCGTGACAGGACCTCTTAATGAGCTGCAGGCTTTGCAGCTAAAGCTGAGTCAGGAAGCTTCTCTTAGAAGAAAGCGCATGCTTGCCTCTAACAAGCAGAGCAGACCCTAGAACACAGCGAGTCTAGTTGCCATCAAACAAATCATAGCACTTTACTCCAAATGCTCTATTCAAAAGCTCTGTCTCCCGCAGGAGCCAGACAGAGATCGCAATGGCGGCACAGCCCCAGGAAGTCGCGCTTTAAAATGAACAGCGTTTTTTCTGCTACTGTTGCCGAATCAGGAAATCTCTCTACAGCACGCCACCAACAAACAGCAAAAATATGTGTTAAACTCTCTCTCCCTTATTTTTAAGCCTTCTCAGGTTTTTTTAAGTGGGTTTAGCCCCACGTTGGGTGCCAATCTGTTGAAATAAGGAGCGGTGGGCTGCGTCCCCAGCACCCCAGCTGCCCGCACGGCTAGCTTATGCCCGAAATAACAACACACAAACTGTATTCATTTAAACACTGCTTGGCCCATTCTCTTCTAGGCTAATTCTCACATATTAATTTAGCCCATTTCTAATCATCTGTGTATGGCACCCCAAGGTGCGCTTACCAGGAAGATTCTAGCCTATGTCCATCCTGGGTTGGAGCTTCATCCCGGGAGCGGGGCATGGCGTCTCTCTCAGGCGTCTGCTCCAGAGAGGAGAGCTGTCAAGACTCTGAGCTCACTTCCTCTTCCTACCAGTGTTCTGTTTACTCCTCCCACCTATCTTCTAACCAATAAAATGGGCCAAGGCAGTTCCTTTATTAGCCAATGACCTTCCTCCATCATAGATGTATAGCTATGGCATTTCAGATGTTTATTTTAGGTGCTTGTTTATTGGGAAGCCAAGGATATACAATGATAGAAATGACTTGTTATGGATTAAACATATTTGAATCTATATTTCCCCACAAAAATATAGGTATATTTTCATTATTGAAAAAATGGGAGTTATTTTGATTTAGTAGTTGATATTTTAATAGATAATGTTTACTAAGTACTAAAATGAATTATTACCTTTTCCTGAGAAGCATTCTCTTTATTTAATATAAAAATGTTTTACTAAACATGACTAGTGGAACATAAAACCCCAAACTCCATCTTTTGCTGATCAGATCATCCCATTAGTAATTTTGTATGTTGTTCTTCATACATGTTAAATGTGTGTGTTTCTCTTTTCTAGGTTATTACCATTGGAAAACATGTTAAAGGATACCATTATATCATTGCAAATCTGGTAGGTGAATTAACTGGCATTATTTTACTACCTACTAAGCTTTTATTAAGATTTACTTATCTGCATTTTATGCAAATGAGTGTTTGCATGTGTGTCTGTGCGCCATGTGCATGCAGTACCTGTAGATTGCAGATGAGGGCATAGGACCCCCTCATACTGGAGCTACAGTAGGTAGGAGCCACCATGTAAGTGTTGGGAACTTCACCCTGGTCTGTGAAGAATTAATGAGTGCTTGTAGTACAGAGATATCACCCTAGCACACTTACATAATCTTTTTAATTGAATGTGTTAGTTTGGAATGATCATCATTCATAATGAATTTTTGATATATAGTCTGATTATTCTTTTATAGATGAGAAATTAATTATTTTATTTGGTTGCTTTAGGTCTGCTTCCCAATCTACAACTTATATTAGTTCTAGTTTTTAGATGTGATAAAAGTATCTTCACAATATTTGCTCAAAAATTATCTTGAAAATTCTATACTAAAGGAAACATCTAAAAATAAAAAGTTTAGCTCTTTAATTATCCATTTTCTGTCGTGTTTTATAAACTTATTGTGTGCATTCTCATTTGAATTTTTAGTATATAATATCTTAAATTGATGTACATTTATAAGGAAATTAAGCTTAGAAATATGATAATATAATGTCAATAAAATTATCAATTATATATTGTAGAACATGTAACATCAATGTCTTGAAAGTATTTTATTTATGATTTTCTACATATTGTATAAGTATCACAATGAAATGGAAACTGAGTCCTTAAGAGTTTCCCATGTTGTCATCAGAATTCTTGCCAATTCAGTACACACTGGAAAGCAGATTGGCTCATTATATTTCTTTGTGGTTTTTCTTTCTATAGTATAGCCAATCAATTTAGATTATTGGACATTTGTTTTTATTTCCAAAATTGACTTTAAAAGAGTAACAAAACAGTCTTTGCTTTTTCTTCATGGTCTTTGAGTAGCTATGACCCTGTTTGTTGGAAAAGATCTCTGCAACATGGGCAAACTCAGAAAACCATGGTGAACAAAAGGGAAAGTGGTGGCAAAAACAAGTGTGTTCTAGATCATGTGATAGATAGGACCACACAAAGGCTTCATACTTATGCAAATGCAAGCTTCATTTGGGATTCATGGAGTATCTATCAGCTTGTACCTCAGAAAACATCCCTGGTATGACAGAGAGACACAGAAACAGAACAAAACTTGCAAGAAATAGTGTTTTCATTGAAAAAAAGTCATGTCAGTATCAGCGGCCTGAGTCTGGAAAAAGTTGGCTGTTCAAGGTGAAATCTCTCTTCCGGTTGTGTGATTCCTAGCTGCTATGACCATGCTCTGGACTCTTCTCTTAGTGTGTACCAAGGAGGTTGGAAAAGACTGTTGTAGACCCAAGGGTTAACAGGAAACGAGGTTCTGCAGTGATTCTGCTGAGCTGCATTCCAGGCCCAGAACAGCCTGCACACTAAGTCCCCTGTGTGAATTGTGCCATTTGGTGAGCAGCACAGAGTCACAGTGAAAGCTGCGATCTTTGTAAATGTCCAGATGGAGAAGATTCTGTGGGAACATTGAGAAATAATGACAGAAGGTGTCTCAACAATTTGAGAGCTTTATGTGTAACGCCATGACAAAGGAAGTGCTGTCTAAGTGAGCAAGTCCAGGCTCCTGTCATGGCTCTGTTTGGGATCCTTAAATTCACGCTGACGCTGAATGCGGCTCTGCTCTCCTTTTCCCAAAGCCTCGAGTCCTCTCCTCACAAACCTCTGGCAGTTCAGTTAGTGCAGAAGTCTCGATTCTGACGCTAGGTCTGAGAATTTAGACATTAAAACCTGAAAAGTGCCTCCTGCTGTTGAAGGATTTTCATCTTCCAAGTTCTCAACAGAAAGCTAAAACTTTTTCTCTGACTTATGCATGTCAGAGGAAATTACTGTAAAAGATTCTTTAAAACCCTCACATATGGATTAATTCATTTAAGAATTGCTAATAGTGGTCTTGGTCCTTCAGATTCAGTCTACGATTAAATTGTTGCAGGATTTGAATGAACAACTGGCTCATAATACCATGAGACTTGGTCCTAGGATCTTGTGCTCCTGTTCTTATCTCTGCTATTTGCATGGATTTAACTCATGGATAATCATTTAGGAAGTTTAGGTTCTACGATGCTAGAAGTGTTAAAGGTGTACTAACAGCTCAGATTTTAGTGATTCGTGATGAGTCACTTGATTTAAGCCTTGTGCATACATCTCCCTGAGCAATATGACGCTTTTGATTTGGTGGTTTGTTGCCAACTCAGTCCACCTCCTCTTCTTGCTTTTCATCTCCTCTCTCCTCCTCATGTTTCTCCCCTTATTTTATAAATAGAAACTTTGCAGAGGAGTACAGTAAGAATGATTTGGAAAACGCAGATTCTTGTTTAGGGCAGCATCAAGCCTTACCAAAGATTTCTGTTGAAAGTGTTGCATAATGACAGCAAAATGACAACAAGTGATTAAAATGATATGAAACCCAATGAAAGAAAAAAATGAGAACAAAAATGTTAGGAAGACAAGAAGCTAAAGCTTTATCTGAAAAGATGAGGCAGGGCAAAGAGAGGAATATAAAACAAGACAGGGAAAGCAGTCAGGTAGCTCCTGTTCTCGCTGTCCACTCTTCCTCCTCCATCCCTAGAGGCAGAGCCTGGCATGGGCTCCATGCGCACATTACTGAGAATGTGATGCTAGCAGCAACCTGTGAGAGAGCAATAGAACACACAGGAAGAAAGCATAGGAAAGAATGGGCCTCCATTGATATTTGGGTCCAATCTGATACCCTGGGGCTCTGTGTTACAGAAAACCACACCAGTCCCCTCCAACATAAGAGAAGACAGAGTGATTTTTGAACCCAGAACACAAATACTTTTGTCACTGAGCTATTTGGCACAGCTTCTATTTTCTCAGGGAAATTTTTCAACAAAAGTTATGGACATAAATTATTGTCTAGAACAGGGGAACTCTTATGGACCAAGCATCAGCTAAACATCTCAGATGGGTCCCAGGACACCTAGGTGCATCAAGGAGACTATTCAGTACAATAGCCTTGACTCAAAGTCCTTTGAGAGGAATAAACAGACACCCAAGTACCCTCCCTACACACCCCCATCAAAGGGAACCACCAAGCACAAACTTTACTTCAAGTTCATATGATTTTCAGGAAAATATGCAGATAAAACTGAACAACAGAAAGCAAAAGTCCTCACACAGAACTCCAAGCCCTCCCTCCACTCACAAATCACTTTGTGCCCAGAATTTAGACACACACACACACACACACACACACACACACACACACATACACACACACACACACACACACACACACTGCACCCAGTTGCATAGAAGACTGGAAGTTTCTAAGTGGCATAGGAGAAAGAAACAAATCTAAGGGGAAAAGGTCCGTGGCCCCGCCCCCTGCCCACAGGCCTTACAGCTCAGTGAAAAGATGAGCCTCACATGGACCCTAGAAACCCAGGGTCCATTTAACACCATTTCCATTGGAACACAATTGTGGGCTGACATAAAGCAATCACTCTTTGCCCAAATACAGTGTATAATAATTTGTATTTTTAATACTAACAGCAAATAAAAGATTCGTGCTTAATTCAGGCTCTATTTAATCATTGTGTATGATGGAATGAATACATTTATAACAGCCACATCACAATCTTGTTTCTATTTCTTTGTTTTAAAAATCAAAAGAAAACTCAGTTAAATTCATCATAGCCCATGATTTGGACTAATGAGAAGTGTAACATGTTTGTGTGAGTTTGTGCTTATTAGTGCAATACCTGTACTTGTCAGAAGGGGTCATCAGAGAAGTTGCTGGACTTGTCAGAAGGGGTCAATAGAGAAGTTGCTGGACGAGGTGACCTACCCAATGTGGCTACTGGGAGAGAACTTGGGGCCAATAGCTGAATGCATGGCCTTAATCACCTAAACTTCTCTCCAGAGCTGTAATTATTAGATCAAATTCAATTATTATATTCAATTTGTTTCAAGTTTATTGTGAGATTTCATTTCTATTAAATAACTAAGAACAATGATTGAGTGTTTTTTTCTTCCTCCTCATTTTAAAGATATTTTTATCAGGTGAGTGAATGATCGGTTTAGCTGAGGATAGTTTGGTCAATATTTTCCATATGGAAGCACATGACTCTACTCCATGATAAACTCATTGAAGGAGACCAGTCCTTACCAGACACATGGCGGCTGTCTTAGTAAAACAGAATACCTCTTTGTGAATATTTCTGTGAGCTTTGCATGAGATAATTAGTCAGTAAACATATCGATTAGGGACCCACCATGATGTCAATACGAATGAGGTGTGGTGAGAAGCATTGGCTGTTAAGTATGCATAACCTGTTACATAGGCATTTTATCTTCCCTGTGTGTGTTGAACCTGTAAAGAGACACTGTATAGAGACACAGGAGAGGTTAACTTGCAGAGGGATAACACAAGTGTGTTTTATATCTAGGGATTTACTGATGGAGACCTGCTGAAAATTCAGTTCGGAGGTGCAAATGTCTCTGGATTTCAGATCGTGGACTATGATGACTCCCTGGTGTCTAAATTTATAGAAAGGTGGTCAACACTGGAAGAGAAAGAATATCCCGGAGCACACACAGCGACAATTAAGGTTTGCATTAAGGAAATGAACATGCTTAGAACATATTGGAGGGGATAGTGTTCAGTTCAAGGGATAATAAGCACACAGACTGATGAATGCATTTTCAATATTTAATTTGTTTACTCAGAAACATGGTGTGTTACTGTAGTGTTCTTCTGCATCTCCTCAATGTTTTCATTCATTTACCTGACTATTGGAATTTTTTATTGTGTGGAATCTCAAGTAGGGACTATGAAGGTAAATCAAGGACAGATTTCTGCCTACACTCACATTACCATGAGGAAAGAGAATAAAAAGCCCACACTTTGGGAAGGAAGAGCCAGCTATGAAACAGATGGCAAGCAAAATCATAAATTATATGTCCTGAGAAGCTTTGTGTGAGGAATCAATTTTAAACTTAAGATCCAAAGAGCAAAAGGCTCTGGCTGTCACATACAATATTTTGTCTACAAATAAATCAAAGAAAGAATAATAGATATGGACTCTTTCCATTTTCAATAATCTCCCTTGTATACAGTTTAGATAACAAACATATGGCTACACATAAAATGCCTACATGTGGTATGTAAATGTGTCGTATGTATAAAATAATTGGTCATCAGTGACATGTGCAAGTCAGAAAGCTTATTGAAGCATGATTACTTTAATAATGGAAACATCAACATGGTATCTACACAGTCAGTCAGAATCCTTGAAAGCTGACTGAAATGCCTCAACATGAAGTCCTGAGTGCCTTTGAGCACTGAGTTCTTCCTCTGTATAGTGTTTAGACATGCATACACATTGTTGCTACCTAAGTCGGGTATTTCTGCTGATGAGAGTACTTAGTCTTTGTTGCTGATCTTACTGAGAGTAGAATTAAGATTCAGACTTGGTTAAGGAAGTAGTTTTTATACTGATGTCAAATGATTTGGGGTACACATAATGGTCTTTTTTTTACAAAATTGGAAATGTTTTAAATGAAGGAGAAAAGGTGATATATATTTATTTATATACATATATAGCTTAAAATATCATAGTGATATATATATATATATACATATACATACACACACACACACACACACACACACACACATATATATAGTTATCAGGAACTAGTTGATCATGCATTGTTGGGGGAGGTTCCTTGTTTGTTTCCAGCTGCTCAGACCCAAAATAATCACTCTGAAATTATATTACTTAAATCACTGCTTAGTCAATCACTTAAGCACATTGCTAGCTAGCTCTTAACCCATTTCCATTATTTTATATTTTACTACTGGCAAGGTTCTGACTGGCAGCTTGTGTCTTTCTCCTCTGGCGGTTCAATGGCATCTCGCTGACTCCACCTACTCTCTATATATCTCTTCCAGTCTAACTAAGTTCTGTTAAGCTGAAAGCAGCTTCTTTATTAACCAATAAAATCAGCACATATACAGAAGGACCTCCACATCAACACACAAAGTGTAAATATGACTATATTGTTGTATCTGGTTATGAACGTTTACCAGATAAACAATAGAGAGTTTAAAGTTCTATACTTGGGGGTACATAAATAGATACCTTTAATTTTAGGTCAATTTCAGAAAACCATTTTGTAAGATGTTAGAAAGAACTTTATTTTTTCAAAAAGGTAAGAGCGTTCCTGTTTGGTGACCTTGGTTGAAAATTTAGGCTGTCTATTATGTGATCCTGTGCAGTGCTGTAATGTAACAGAGCTTCTGAGAATGACATGGGACACTTGTTTTCTGTCATGGGACATGTCTCTGTCTAGCTTAATGCATGTTTCACAGCTCATTCATCCCTTCCTTGAACTTTAAGCTTCTGTGGCTTAATAAATGATGCTGTTTAGGATGTGTGATGGAGAATGCATTCCTCTGAAACCTTAAATCGATTTTCTCTTCACATTCTTCATGAACTTATTGTGGTGTCCCCATACTGCCTCTGTGAGAAACAAAAAAAAAATGAGATTGAATTTTGTCTCCTAGAATTTACATCATTATTTGCCTCCATGTGTCTTATATCATGACTCATGGGGAAGGAGGTATCCAGAAATGCATTCTATTTAAATTTTGTTGAAACTTTGTCCCAGATTTCAATCTGTTGAGCTCAACCAATGTGCCTTTTCTTTGTTTTTTTTTTCTTCTACAATATCATCCTTTTGACTGCTTCAGCCAATTGTCAGAGAGTTTGTGATTGTTATTCATAGTGGGATACCACAAAGAAGAAGGCTTATGGGTTTAAAACAAATTTGGAATCTGTCATTTATTAGATCATGGTTCTCATCCATGTATCACAATCAAGGCTCTTAATTCCCAGCTGTTGGCTGTGAATTACCAGCTGTTGTGAAGACTAAATGCCATTCAGTAGATTTTAGCACAGTGTGAGAATCATAGATCCTAATTAAGGCTCATAGCTTCTATCCTTCTCCAAAATACAGGGAATTTCAGCCAGTTGCTAAGGTCGATTCCAAGTTGAACATGTAGCAATTCCTATATTTTACCCCAGAGAGTTCATAGAGATCACTGAATGCCATTAGGGGAAATTCATCTCTGGGCTGGAGTTTATGCTAATCCAGATACATATTGCTTCTGTACTAGAGGGCTAAGAAATTAATCAAGCAACAGAAATGAAAAAAAGTATGAACATTGACTTTGAGCATGCACAGTCTAAAAGAAAACATAAATATGTCAATGAACAAATATAATAAAGGACAATGTATGTCAAGTGAGCAAGCCATTTTTCTACAGACGATTAGGACAAAATATGGGAAGGAGGTTAAGAAAGGCTTTTTGTAAGGGGACCCCTGAATACTCTTTCCATGAAGCTAGAACTGAAAGAAAAGAAAAGGAAGGGGATTTGGGAAAGAACATCTTGTGAAGACACAAGGTCATGCCCCAGCATGACAGATAGAAAACTGCAAATCTCATGCTGGTATTTTTTTATTGATTTTTATTGAGCTCTACATTTTTCTCTGCTCCCCTCCCTTTTTCTCCCCTCCTCATACTGTTTTAAGAAACCATTTGGAACTTGTGAAAAGGGCATGGCTTCCTTGTAAGTAGTATGGCTACTGTTGTCCTTTGATCAAAAGACAATGATTACAAGAGAGGGCCCCATGATCCTAGACTGAGTGGATACCAGAAACGATAGAGCCTACTAAGCTCTGCAATAGTATCTACTGAATTCCTGTCTGACATTGGGTCAGTAGTTCTTGTCTACATAGTTCAAACAAAGCTGTTAAGTACAGGCTACACTGGAAATCAAATAATTACAGAAGCATAAAAATAAATAAAGGTTTGCTCCCTTTCCCAACTCCCTTCCCTAGAATAAAGGCATTTCAAACTTTTGTTTTCCACGTACTCTCTCTCCCATTCCCTCTTTTCCCTCCTTGTTCTAATTAGACAGAAAAGGGGAGGTGATGTGGGACTTGCTGTCAATATATTTTATTACCATTGGTTAATAAAGAAGCTGCTTTGGGCCTATGATAGGGCAGAATAGAGCAAGGAAAGAATTCTAAGCAGAGATAGAGGAGAAAAATAGGCAGAGTCAAGGAGACGCCATGTAGCTGCCAAAGGAGAAAGACACCTACCAGTAGGCTACATAGATTAGTACAAATGGGTTACTTTAGTTCAGAAAAAGCCAGAGCTAATAGGCCAAGCAGTGTTGTATCATTCAGGTCTGGATGACTGGGAAACGAAGGAGCAGTCTCTACCTACAAAAGTCCCCTCTATTTTACCCCCACATGCACACACTTCCTGTATTTTTCATATACATACTTTCTGATTATGAAGTTCAATTTATACATTAGGCACAGTTGAAGGTTGACAACAGTCAATAATAAAACATTATCCAACCTGGCAGTAAATGCATCCTTTCTGTCCTTTTTCTCACCATGCTTTGTCTTGTGCTCTGCAATCAACCCAAGCCCAACCACCACCCACTCTCTGCCCTATTATGATGCTATCTTGAGAACTGTTTCTTCTGCTTCCCCTGTCTCCCATGCCTTCTATATTTTATTCGCTTTGAAATGTAATTAGAGTGTGTTGTGATTCTTCTGCAAAAGCTCCAGGATCCTTTTGCACTTGTCATTTTCTTGACATAGGAATTGCTCACGTTCTTCACCTCACATGTGACCTTAGTTCTTGGCAAGGTTACATCACCAAATTCACTCCAACTGTATTCCTCCATTTTAGTCCTTAAACACGTGACATTTCCCCTCCTAAGGGCTCCGTACACTAACTATTCCTCTGCTAGAACATTTTCTTCTTATATCCCTGCAGAAGTAAGCCTGCAGATTGTGCTTCTTCAATCTTGTGCAAATAGTATCCCCTCATTGAAACTGGAGGTCAACTTTCTAAACTGTAGCCTTTACTCCATTCAAGGGAGGAGCCATTATAGTGCTTCTGCTTAAGACATTGGTTTTATCTTTTGAAATTATTCTTGACCTCCACTGTCATGTATTCGTAACGAATTGATTCTCAGCGTTGTTGGTTTTATATCTGTGTTTGAAATTAAGTGCCAATATGTTGTTGGTTGGTCCATCAAAAGCACATAAAATAATGACTGAAGCATAAAGTCTGCGAGTCAGAGCTTCCTGGGTGTGCACGCAGAGGAAGGTGTCTCCTAGGAGGACATGCAGGAATGGCTGTGGAATAGAAAGACTTCTTGGAAAAAAGAAAAGAGTTTGAAACCTGAAATTGAGTAAGTTTCAATGAGCAGGGTATCAGAGTCTCTAAGTATTGGAAAAAGTATACGGGAAGTTTCCCACTCAAGGAAAACACAAATATTCTATCAGTCTGAGAACTGGACAGAGCTGTCATGAAGACTGTGCAGAGTCAGTCATACAGGATAAGGCTTTGAGCTCAATCTCCAACACGGTGAGAATCTATACCAACCTAGAAATAGGTGCTAATCCGTTGGACTCCCTGGTGATTACTGGATTCTGTTGAACAGGCAGACCAGTATGCGGCCCGAACTGTGACTATGCCTCAGAGAGGGATTCAACACATTGACGCCTTTTCCTTAAT